TCAATTCTAACTACATATTTGTAGAAACTTGGGAACTTAGTTGTAACAAGAGATGAGCACAACCTTATAAGGGAAGTAAAGTTCTGACGCTATCTAAATAAACGAGACTTCACAACTAGTTTCTAGTACAATGTACCCTTCAAACGGTTGTTTCAAAAGTTTGTGATTTTACATGTATGTCTACAGATATTCTAACTACATAATTAAATATTGCATGCACAGGTTTAAAATATTTGACATAAGGCTTAGTGTTCTTAATTAAGTATGCTTAATGTTGATGGGTTATACAAGAAGAATTAATTTTGCCTTAGAATCTAATACAGGTGGCAAAGTCTTACAAAAAAATTACTGTGAAATAGTATATTTCGTACCTAGGGCCGAAAATGAGGTTTTGCCGGCTCTAGATTCTCGACTTCGTCTCGAACTTAAATCGATCGAGAGCTGCAAAACCATTTCGGTCCGTGGTACGAACGCTATTTTTCACCACACTATACCCTATTACCACTATTCACCACTATAATAATGCACACTGATAGTCAACACAACTACAACTTTAAGGTTATGTGAAAAAATAATTTGAGGAATCAGCAAAAATAAAAAATAAATAGTTGCCAGGCAACGGTGACAATAACACAATTCTATTGCAATGCTATGGATTTTGCATGTTTTAAGTAAGTAAGCGGACAGCTGATTTTGCGGCCCCGGCCTGTAAAAACCTACTCGGTCACCAAATTACGATGACAGCTGGCATGGACAGCAAAATGTAACTTTCAGCCACCAATTAATGTATGTAATACAGCCAAAAACATCATAGTGTGGTGAAAAAAATATTTATAAACACAAATGGTTTTTTTACAATAAACACTAAATAAATTGATTTTTTGCCAGTGATTAAAATTTACCGTTTGATCTTCAAAAACTAGTAGTACTTGAGTAAGCTGAATATAACTTCATCCATAACAATAAAATAAATAAATATTGTTAATAAAGAAAGGTATGTAGCTTTTAAATAAAAAAAAATATAATTGTTTGTATATATTATTAACTAGCATTTTAATTGTCTTTGCCATACTTGAAATAGTAAAATAAAAAGTCTTATAGTAATTTTAATGTTATCTTTTCTTTCATTAGAAAAGTGCAAACACGATTCAGACATACGTTGGTTTTATAAAAATGTAATAAACACTTATTATATAAAGTTTGTTTCACAGATTTTAAACGTTAATTAAAAACTGTTGATAACTATGACAATATATTAGGTTCATGCAACAAATAAAAGATGAACGAAATGTTGGTGTCTTTGGATGAAATATAAACCTTTTCAATTCATGTTTTAATTGCTCCCATTGCACTTTAATTCCATTACGACCGAACTCCGAGTTAAAGTGCTATCACTTCTCGCCAGCAATTATTTGTGTTCCAGATTTTCAGATTTATCCTACTGAAGTTATTGATTATGTCTGCAACGTTAAAATAGGTTGTATTTTACGTAAAAAACTAGAAATAATAAAAAGTGATTATTGTTTGCGCTTGAAAGATGAGATAAGAAAAATATATAAAATTCGTAATAACTATTATATCTTATTATTGTTACTTGAAATCTTTAAGAGTTTTGTGAAGAAAAACTGTTAAAATTTAGGATAGACCAACTGTGCCAATATTCTTTATCCAAAGATGTTGAAATTCCAAACGTATCTTCCAGCTGAAATCTGCTTAAAAAGCAATTTATTATATTACTCTTTTATTCTATGACTTTTGTTAACTGATATTTTAAAAGGACTAAACTCAAGTTGTCTTCTCTGTTATTTCTTTATCTTTAGTGAATAATGTGGTGTATACATGTATATATAATTTATGTGTATACATATATATATATATATATTTATATATAAAGTATATATATATTTAACTGGAAGTAACCACTAAAATTGTTTATTTTATATAGTTTTGTTGGTCTTGACCATTTAATAAACAAATAAAATACCAAAACTACAACCTAAAAATGTATCATTAGGTAGTTGATATTTGCTATATATAAACTTACCAATTTTACTATTACAAATTAAACTAATTAGGAACAAAAAGTAACAATGTTTAAAAAAAAAAAAAAATACAGTTTTGGTAGTTGTGAATTTAAATTTTGTATCATTTGACTATGTTATTATGTCTACAATCCAAAAATATTCCAATATTCTTTTAAACTATGTACGTTAAAACCTCAAGTAAATCCCAATTTAATAAAACGTTGAAATTAAACTACAACAGTTTAGTTGGCCGTATGTAATGCTCAAATAGCGTTATCTAGGTAAAAATAGTCTTTATTAATTGATTTCACTAACTTGGAAGTAAGCCAATTATTTTTTATAATCTCTGCTAATATATTTGTTTTTGAAGCTTAAACGTTCAAAAGCTAGTACCTTTTCAACACTTGGACACTAATTAATACTAAGTTAGATGTTTTAACATGCGAGTGTACACATAAATACCAATGTTAGTTCAATTTGCACGATTAACCTGAGTTCTATGCCTCATAAGTCATATGAGGCTCTATAAGACATATTAAAAAATGCCAAAATACCATGCGACTTTTTGAAAAAACAAACCTTTAGGTCTGACACAGTTCAGTTCAGGGACAGTAGGTAGACTTTGATTGGACACGTGATTTGGATACAAAACACGTGACGTCAGCATTCATATAGATAGTATGTAGATAGTCTAGATAGCAGAATGATCATGAAAACTCAGCAAGAAATATAAGTGAAAAGTAACAACCTTATCGTGCAACCTAAGCAGATAAGGGGGAATAAAATGTCACCAGTGAAGTCTGTGAAAATGGTCTGTGTTTTTAAGGACTAGCATTATCGTATGATGTTTCATTGAAGTTTCTGTTTAAAGTAGTGGGTACGGAAACCATCGTAATGGTTTTTAACATTGCATGGCTTGATTACAAGAAAAGGCATCAAGAATCTTATCAAATAGTTTAAGGAAATATTGTCCCAGACTTGTGTTATCAATCGTCCAACGTTAAAATGTAACTCTTAATTTATCCACGGAAAAGAAAAACTCCTCAAGTTGCCAATTGTAAAAGATTTTTTTATATTGGCAGTATTGATTCTAGAGTTAACTAATGAGTTCGATTGAGAATTAAATATAAAACATTTAGCCATTCATAAATGCAAATCTCCAATAACTTTTTGAATAGTTAGCTGTAAAATAAGTCCGTAGGCGTTCAACAATGGGTCGAACCCTCTTAAAAGAGGCGTTAGATGAGACTTCAATGAAAAACTGTTTTTTACCCTTTGTTGAAAATTATGTAGCAAATAGCTTAAATAAAATATTTTAAGCTAAGGACCTAAAAAATGAAGCGGTTTGTAATATAATTCTACCTACTATAGGGGAATTTTACAAGTTTACATTATAAATGTGATGATATTCCAGTTTTAAAATATAGTTTCAATCAAAAATATTCAAGCAAATCAGTAAATTAATTTTATAAGTATTTATAATTTAATGAATTTAATAACAAATTAGTCATTCCAATTCAGTATCAGATAAGTTAATAAGTAAGTTCAAGACCAAATCGTGGAATGACTTTAAAATTAAATGAAAGATACTACCCCTTATAGAACACTAAACCCATATGTGTATTTGTATGAGGCCTTTTAACTATCCGTTTTGCTCGATTACATTCAAAATTAAATTAATAAACAATCTCCTTAATACCTAGAAATATAAAAATATTATATAAAAAAACATATTGTTATTATAAAAAAGATAAAAAAGAATCGAAAGTATTATAAATTATAAAATCAATTAAGCTATAGGTTATTTTGAATGCAAAGAATTATTTTAAACGATGTACGAATTAGGAGTTGGATGATGTAATTGTGAAGTTTAGTGGGGAAATCAGCCTACTGGAGATGTTCTAGTCCTCTTCAGCTAAGGGTAGTTTCGTTATTAATATTCCTAACAGTAACGGCTGCAGCGTCCAATGTATGTAATAAACAACAGAGCCGTAAAACTAAACATAGCCCCGTGCAATACTTCAAAATATTTTATCGTTATAAAATTAAACATTTGAGCTTTATTATGACAAAACAGTTAGACAAATTATATGATTGAGATATAGAAACAAAGGGAGGAACGGATATGAACGTAAGGTAGGAAATGTATACTCTGTATGTATGCATATTAAACATTTCACTATTTCCTGTTAAACAAATTTGAGTTGAGAAGTTTTAAACTAAATAATAAGTAATATAATAAAGAAGACGTGTGCTGAATCAGGTACTGCAGGACACAGCTGGGCCAAACTTGCACACAATGAAAGTATGGCAGTTAAAGTCCAACAATTGTGCACCTGCTGCATAAGTGACAACACCTGCGAGAGAAAACTTTGCCACAGGACTGGTGATGGTGTGAATAGATCGATACTTTATTCCGTCAAAAATTACCAAAAACACAAAAATTCCATAATTTATTTGTTATAGATAAAATATATACAGAGTGACAGTTTTAAGTCTTAGGTCGACTTTATAACTTTAAAACAAAAAGATATATCTCAACCAAATTTGTAATTTAATGGTTGTAGTAAGCTACTTTTTTACGTGGTGATTAGATGTCACCTATGGGGGACGACCAATGGGAAAAAGTTGTTAGTAATCTTAAATAAGCCCAGGTTGATTGCTAAGTCAAATTTAAGGTCCTATTGAACTAAAAACAATGCCGCAAACCGGATTTCAAATAAGCAGCCGAGCAAAAATTACAGCTATCAAAATGTACACAAAAAGTAGCTTTACTATTAGGGACCTGTTGTATTAAGTCTGTTCTTTTATCATGTGTTTAAATATGTTTGTTGTCAGATGTTTTTGTAAACATTAGTTTAGTTTGAAAATAGAGTTTGTTCAAGCAAGATGTGTGAATAATATTCTTGTATAAGAAATAGAACATGGTGGCAGCTTAGTGGATTTTTTATCGAACAAAGTCTAAAACCACGCATGATGTCAAGTAAGGGCAGAAAAAAACGAAATACTCGTAGGCAAAGGTATGAGGACAATGAGGAGGATGCCCAAAGTGAATTCAACTACATGTCAGAAAGGGATTCTAGAAAGACTGAAGGTGAGTCACTAGGTTTTGCATTGGGACAGACAAACCGAGAAAATAATGCAGTAATGTGTACTCCTACTCCTATGATAAATCTGACGTTACCAACTCCAGATACCTTCTCTTTTACTCCGAATGAGTGGCATTCCTGGAGGAATCGCTTTCAAAGGTATAGACGGGGGTGCGGTCTAGATAGCACTTCCGACGCTCGGCAAATCGATGTACTTTTGTTTACAATGGGTAGTAGGAGTGAAGATATTTTCGATTCGTTTTCACCAAAACCGAATACTTATGACGAGGCTCTTCGGGCCTTTGATGCATACTTTGTGCCAAGACGAAATATCATTTATGAGAGAACAAAATTTCTGAGACACAAGCAAGGGAGTGATCCATCTGAAAAATTCATAACAGATTTGCATGGTCTTGCAAAAACGTGTGCATGGGGTGAACTGAACGATGAGATGGTGCTTCTGGTCCTCATTATTGGTATGAAAGATGAGGCTCTAAGTGATAGACTCCAGCTGGACTCTCAATTGACTCTGGAGAAGGCGATTAATACCTTGCGCCAACACGAGGAGCTAGAACGCCAAAAACGTGAGCTCGCCAATACTAATGTTTTTATGGTGAATCAAACGTCAATACAAGTCGGTAAAACAAATCTGTCTGAAAGAGCTGGTGAACAGAAATTCACCGAGGATGCTATGAGAAAAAAGTGCAGGAAATGTGGTTATAACTGGCACGGATCACTGGCCGAATGCCCTGCTAGGAAAGCCAAATGTGACAAATGTTCCGAGATTGGACATTTTTTTCGATGTTGTCCCTCCCGCGAAAAGTGGATGAGAAAAAACAAAAACGTTGTTAAGGAAATCGAACAGCAAGATTCAGACAGTGGTTATCAACAGGTTCCTGAGATTTTCATAGGGAATATAGACAGCAGTGACAAAGCCTGGGTCCAGGAGGTAAAAGCAAGCTGTGGAAACCAAGATTTAGGTCTTATAAAATTTAAACTTGACACAGCAGCTGATGTAACCATGATTCCAGTAGGAGTTCTTGGTGATTTTATTAAGACTCTGCCTCTAGGAAAGTGCAAATCCCCTGTGTTTAGCGCAAAGAAGAAAGAACGAATCAATATTTTGGGAACTTTAAGGCTAAAGCTTGAACATAAGGGTGTATCAGTTTATGATCTTGCGTATATTTCTGAGGAGATCACTGTTCCACTTCTTAGCAGACGTTCCTGTGAAGAGCTGAACCTGGTGAGGAGAATCTTTTCTGTAGATTCACATGATATTGACTGGGCTACTAAGTATCCTAATTTATTTCAAGGGCTGGGAAATATGAAAGGAGAGTACAAGATTGAAATGAAGGAGAATGCAGTTCCTTACGCTATATCCACCCCCAGAGTTGTACCAATACCTTTAAAAACGAAGGTGAAAGAGCAGTTAGACGATATGCTTGAGAAAGGAGTGATTGTTCCAGTTGAACACGCGACTGATTGGTGCGCACCAATGGTAGTTTGCGCAAAAAAGGGAGGTGGGGTTAGGATCTGCGTAGACCTATCCAAACTCAACAACAGTGTGAAACGTCGGTTTTATCCTATCCCAAAGATCGAACTTTCATTGGCCGAGATCGCGGGAGCCAAGTACTTCAGCAAGATCGATGCGAATTCCGGGTTCTGGCAACTGAACCTTGCAGAGGAGTCACAAGATTACACAACGTTTATCACCCCTTTTGGGAGGTATAAATTCCGTAAGTTACCTTTTGGAATTACGTCCGCTCCTGAAGAGTTTCAGCGCCGCATGTCAAAAGCTTTAGAAGGGGCAAAGAACTGTTTAGTGCACATTGATGACTGTCTGATATGGGGAAGAACGAAAGAAGAACACGACGAGTGTCTTAGGGCCGTTCTAGAGAGAGTGCAAGCTAATGGAATCACCTTGAATAAGCAGAAGTCGGAGTTCTGCAAGAAGACTGTGACATTTCTGGGGTTTGTGCTGTCTAAGGACGGAATCAAGCCTGATCCAAGCAAGGTACAAGCGATTGTGGACTTACCAGCTCCAAGAAACGCTAATGAAGTACAAAGATTCATGGGCATGATCACTTTTCTGGCAAAATTTATTCCGAACCGCAGTGAGATTTTGGAGCCAATTACGAGCTTGTTAAAGACTAAAAACGATTTCCTTTGGGGACCAGCTCAAGAAAACGCTTTTGTCACAGTAAAACAGATTTTATCATCAGAGCCATGTTTGACTGTTTACGATCCGCAAAAACCCTCGATTCTTTCTTGCGATGCTTCAAAAAAAGGTCTTGGAGCGGTTTTACTTCAAGTTGAAGGAGAAAACAAGAAACCTGTGGCATATATATCTCGGACTCTAACGCCTGCTGAAGAAAACTATAGTAACATTGAGAGAGAAGCGCTTGCGTGCACATGGGCAAGTGACCGTTTGAAATGTTTCCTGATGGGTAAAATGTACACAATTGAGACCGACCACAAACCGCTTGTCTCAATTTTCAAAACACAAAATTTGGACGAGCTCTCACCGAGGCTACAGCGGTTCCGAATGCGTATGATGAGATACGATTATCGCATGACCTGGACCCCAGGAAAAGACCTTGCCATAGCAGATCTACTATCAAGAAGTCCTATTCCGGCTGACGAAGATGGCGAATTGACCGAAGAAGTGGAAGCCTTCGTCCACGAAATCAGTCTGATTAGTATAAACACTACAGATGAAAATGTGACAAAGGTACTTCACTCACAAATGAGAGATCCAATCTGTGCACAACTTAAGTTACAAATTTTAGACGAATGGCCTGTAAAATCAAGTTTACCTAATGAGATTCAAGAGTACTTTAATGTGAAAGACGAGTTAAGTTGTATTGATGGGCTATTGCTTCGAGGAACTCGGATGATAATACCTCAAGAACTACGAGCGGAAATGCTCGAGAGGCTTCACAGTGGACACTTGGGAATCACAAAAACAAGGAAACGTGCTTTGGGAACCATGTGGTGGCCTGGAATTTCTCAAGAAATAGAAAGGAAAATCAAATCGTGTCCAGTGTGTATTCAGAACTCAACTAATCACAGTGAACCATTGATTCCGAGAACTGTCCCGGATTACCCGTGGCAAAATGTGTCTGTTGACTTGTTCAAACACGAAGACAAGTGGTATATGGTTATCGTGGATCACTACTCAAGATACTTTGAAGTCGAGGAAATGCATCGAATGAGGGCTTCAGATGTGATTCGGGTTTGCAAAACCACATTTTCACGTTTTGGAATTCCTCAACGTGTTTATTCAGATAGTGGGACACAATTTCACCATATTGGCTCAAGTGAATTTAAATTGTTTGCAAAGGAGTGGGGGTTCTCCACATTCAGAAGTAGTCCCCACCACCATCAGGGAAATGGGGCAGCTGAAGCAGCTGTGAAAGTAGCAAAAGGGCTAATGAAGAAAAACAAGGATAAATTTGAACTTGCCCTACTTTCTTACCGGACCTCACCTCTTGAAACCGGCTTTTCCCCATCTGAACTTATGTTTGGAAGGAAATTAAGAGACAATCTTCCATCTACTTTGGTTGGAAATCCTGTGGAAAATAAGAATTTTCTTGAGAGGGAGAATAAGTACCAGAATAAGTACAAGATACAATTTGATAAACGACATGGAGCGAGTGGTTTAAGTGAATTAGAAGTTGGAAGCATGGTATGGATCACAGATCTACGTCGACACGGTAAGGTAGTCAGGAAATTGAACGAACCACGTTCCTACCTTGTGGAAACTGACAAGAGAACTATTCGCCGAAACAGGAAGTTCTTAGTTCCTGCACCGTACTACGGAGGAGATGGAATTCTTTCAAACTGTTCATCCATGGTCCTTAATCGTCCATGCAACTCACGTGATCGTCCAGGAGCTGGCACAGTAACCCGTTACGGAAGGTCCATTAAGAAACCGAGGCGGTACTGAGGTTCATAAAGATGTGGACATCTTGAAGCGGGATGTTGTATTAAGTCTGTTCTTTTATCATGTGTTTAAATATGTTTGTTGTCAGATGTTTTTGTAAACATTAGTTTAGTTTGAAAATAGAGTTTGTTCAAGCAAGATGTGTGAATAATATTCTTGTATAAGAAATAGAACAGGACCAGTAATAACAAGCCAAATTTGGTTGTGATATCTCTTTCGTCTTAAAGTCGTCCTAAAACTTAATTGCCACTTTGTATATTATAGAAAACAGGTGCATTTTCGTTCCCAGGGATGCAAAGTCTTCTAATTGACTGAGCTAAAATTTTAAAAGAAAGTAGACGATGAAGCTGGTTACCATTTACACATTTTCAGGACCTGTAAATCCCATTAATCCACAATCAGTTGGTGCCAACATTCAACGTGTTTTGAAGTCTATAATTAACAAACATGTAATAAATAATAAAAAGAAGTAGGACTCTTTGGTTTTATTTGTAAAGGGGAACGTCTATCAGATATTAAAAGGTTATAATCAAAATAACTTATTTTGCACTTACATTTTTATTTCTTATTTTATAGCTTTGTAAGTCAAACTTAAAGTAAATCGTTATGAGTAAACCATAGAGTTATTTCACCACCATTGCAAACAATCAAGTGCACATGATTTTATGACGTTAGTATGATGAAATATGTTGCTATTTTTGTGTTATCGCAGTTTCGCCAGCTTGAAGGTAGTATGTTTGTTCTCAAGAATAAGAATACTAAAAATACTAAGGAAGGTAGTAATCTTGAGAAAAAGGCAAAGTTCTTGAGGGAACGTTTTTGAGAATAATAATACTATTTGGAGATTACAAACTACTAACTCAAGAACACGGGCAACGAAAAAAGTATTTAGCCTAATATAAATATGTTGCATTTCAAAATTAAAGTTGCGTACAATTCTAGACACATATATCATTGAACTGTACTAATTATACCATAAAACAAAAGGTTATCGGTAAAAAGCTGCAAGTTCAGGATTTTGACGGTTCCCCTAATATGTTTAAAAGGCCAACGAACTAAAGCCTACATAATAAAACTTTAACATTGTTAGTTTTATTGCTCTGATAGCATTTTTGAACGAGGGAACCACATCAAAACGATGCTATTGGAGTTTGGACTGTGATATAAGGGGGCTAATCGAAACAACATTGTGCTTAATCCAGCAATGCCATAACCGATAGTACTAATGATGACGTTATGCAATCAGAGTCCTGTGGTGTGTGTTGTGTTCGTGCAGCAAACTACCTATGTATAACCTATCGCTAATGAAATACTTTGTAAAGTTCAACATTTCCAGAAACTTTCATAGCTATCAGTACGCCTTATGACATTCGAGGTAAAACAATCAATAAAAAAAAAAGAAATGTAGCAAAAGATCTACATAGAGAATCGTTTTGAAACAATAATTATAAGTTGGTTTACTAAAGAGTTTCGTTTTTAAGGTCGATCGGACAAAATACCTAACTTGAGTTTAAACCCTAGATCTGGCGGTCATTTTATTCACCAGTGGCGGGCATATTTTGGTGCTTTTGTAGTGGTACCATATATTTTGCCACAGAACATTTATTTGTGAATATAAGTACACACATATACATATTTTCTGTTTCAGTGATAAATTTAGAATATAATAATATAAAAATAATTTTTTCCTAGCAATGCGTTTAGGCGTAGTAGCAAAAGGTTTGCAAATTTTTGGATTATGCAAATTAGAAATTTCAAAAGCAACCCACAAGAAAACTACAAAATAATTTTTTTAGACATTTGATCTAAATGTAAAGGTTGTGTGAAATATGATTCCCTACGTAGAAATATCAATGTTTTTTAAATACTCATAAAAATAAAATTATAAAAAAATAAATTCTACATATACATTTTATTTTTTGAAAAACTACAAAACTTTTTTTGTCACCTAGGAAATAATAGAATGCATCAACAAAATTTTATAAAATGATACTGTACAATACGAAATAAAAGACCTTTCTGAAAATATATAGTTATATGTAGTTGAATTCTAAAATTTCAAAGAAATTTACGTCGGAATGTAAAATTTCGAAGATTTTTTTACGAAAACATAATTTTTATGACATTTTTAAAAACAAATAAAATTTTTACAATCAACCTCATAGATTCAGAGGTAATTGTAGGGAACTTATTGTAGTTTCAGAATATGTACTAATATTGTATACAATTTAATTGACAATCGCCAAAAACAGCTGTTTTTGTAGTCAGGTGACCAAAACTTTCCACCGCCAAAATCTATTTTGAACGCTCTAGTTTTTCAAACTATGTTTCTCGCTACATAATACTCGCTCAATAATGTTTTATATATGAAAATGAATCCTCAGAATCTCATCTTTCTAATGGTATAAGATTCATTGCGGTTTAAAATTGTTTTAGTATTTTAACAATAGAAAGTTCCGGACCATGTCGTTCTGGTCCCTAGGGGACCACCGCCACTGAGAACTCAACATTTTCTGGTCCCCTAGGGACCAACGCCAGATCAAGGGTTAAATTAATTTGTACAATACGCGGTACTGAAAATCTCCACAGAATACAAACAGTTTTTTATTAATCTTTCTTATCTGCAATTTGAACGGGGAATTCTCCTCCTGACCATATAAAATCCCTTGAAAACCGTACGAGGTTTGGGGCAGAGATAAAATCTATTGTATTGAGCAGCAGGCCTGAGTGAGTCTCTGGCGCTGGTGTGGCGGGTTGTTGGCTTGTGTGAATGGACTTTTTAGGATTACTAAATTTAATTTCTTCATGTTTACTTATTTATTTACTTTAAATTATTTCATTTTATTTATGTAAGTGAATAGTTTTATTTATCTTTTAGAGGTTATATGGTAGAGAGGACTTGCAAGTCCTAACTACGCCTCTTAAATAAAGCCATTTTCATTTCAGAATACGTCTTTTCGAGGTACAAAGCTTTGACTTGGTGCTTTTAAAAGTCAATATGCATCAGTCTTTTAGCTACCAAAGAAATCCATGTTTTTACCCTATTTAGGATTAATCACATTGACGGAATTAAAACAGTTTTTCAAAACATTCTGTCATTTCTGGCACATAGTGAAAGGAATACAAAAATATAACTTTATAAAGTTACATGTTATGATAGGGGTATCCAATGGTTGTAGAACACTGTTTTATACAATATACAGTGTGATTTAATTATTTAACTTACTTATTATATTCTGCTTTATCGATCCGTAACATGACTATTGTTACCATTTTCAACTTGATCCACTATCTCACACTAATTTACTAATAGAAGATGATTGTTTAAATCCAATGCCTACCTTGGATCCAATTTGTTTATTTTGGAGACCTAGATTTCAACTTAATTAGGTGTCCTTTCAAGGCCATATCAGAGGCTATATCTAAAATAAGATAAAACGAATATTTTTATAATTATGTGTTACATGCATTTAATGAATATTTACAACTCTCTGAACCACTTAAAATGCATCATTTTCCTAACTAATTAAATCAAAAACTATTTTAGTCAAACAATCAATAGATCTTGAATTGTCACACAAAGTATTTTTAATTAGTTATTAAAACGGAATATTCTAAATGTCCTAACAAAACCTAGTGTGTTCATTTATTAGAATCAATCTGTAGTAATTTTGTAGGAGCAAGAGGTACCAAAACTAAAAAAAAATATTGTAAACGAAATAAAACATAAAATAAATAATCCATTCGTTTCAAAGACAATAGATTGCCGCATTACTTTGTTCAGCATAATGTTGACGACGCTAGAGGGGTGGGGGGAGGGGGGGATTTAAGGATCGACAAGGATGGAGAGGGTATGAATCCTCCCCTGTGAATTACTACTTTCAATCTATTTCTGACATGATACGACCATCTTTCGCGCCAGGCATTTACTTGAGTGATTGTTCTGTGTTTTATCAGCATAAATATTTTGCTTACAAATTTATAATTTGTAGGCCTTAATGATGACTCAATATATAGTTGTACAATCTACAAGGTTTAGGTAGAGGATGTTTTGTTTGTGTATCTATATAAAATAGGTTTATTGCATGAGGTATACTTTGAGAAGTTAAAAGCTGGGTCAAGTTAAATCAAAATGGGAAATATTTAAAAAAAATTTCATTCTTGATTTTTTCTTTATTTTGACCCAAGGAATTACTAAGTAAATTATGTCCCCGCCGTTTTTGAACACCCTGTATCGAAACAAGGTATCTTAGTGAATTCCAGACGGAGTTAAGATGTAGGATGTAGCTTAGTGAACAGAAGACAGTCGCCCATCATTAGTTGATGAAGGTAAATAACCAAGAAACGATAAAATCTGGGCACATTTAATTATCATTATAACAGTTTTCATTGTCCCGCTGATTTATTTCACTAAACATTATACCATGTTATTAATTAATCAATTGTTTTTTGCTAAATCAAAAGATATAGTTTTATGATTAATACATATTTGTAGGTTTTTTTTTTTCAAATATAAAAATTTATTAATCTGGGTTCAGTAATATGAAATTTGCGGCAACAAGTTACTTTACTTGTATTTTACTTCACAATGGTTGGCATTTTAAAATTCGGAATGAATGTAATTTTTTTTCTCTAAAATGGATTCTTCTTCATATACAAAAAATTTGCCCAAACTGTGCCATAATAGTTTATATTCAGATTGATTAGTTCAATAATGGTTCAATGCTGACTTTATTCAGGATGATTTTGATTTAATTTATACTAAACGAGAATTCACTTCATGCCTTCATTCACTTCAAGCACCTTAATCCTTACATTGTTCCTCCAATTTAATATGGCAATCTGCTTACCCTCCTTAAACATTTTTTGAAAGGGTTTCGTCATTTAATACATTTTGAATCATTACAACTAACTATCATTTGTAGTTTTAAAAAGTGTACTTAAACCATTATTAGAACAATTAATTCTAAAAATGAGTTCAAAGTTTGTTATTTCATTTTCTA